CTTAACATTAAGTTTTTTTAGAGTTTCGCTCACATTTTTTGACATAGGTAATGTCATGCAGAATAACCCAAAACCGGAGCGCGTTCTCGGTCACTGAAAAAAATTCAAAGTACTGCAAAAGAATGCATTCCAATGGCTGAAATCAAATGACTAACAAAAAGTGATAAAAAGAATGCAATCCAATGGCTGAAATCAAGTGACTAACAAGAAATGACTAAAAAAGTGATTTATGAATCATAAAAAAAAATAATGAAGATTAATTTTTTTTAGTCTTAGTCAGGACTACTAAAAAATGACACCTCTGCGCTTCAGAAGGAAAATACGGACGGGGGTCCGATATGCATTCCGCTGGGACAAAGCGGGCTGTAACAGCAGTGACAACCCTGCTGAATTTACGCTCACCCACGTGCACGTCGGTTGGTGTGGGTAGTGCAGCGAAGGCGCTTTCAGTTACATCCGCGAAGCCTTTACAATCAGCTTTAGAAAAGTTGACACAGGTCCGGTGATCCTCGGAAGCAAAGTCGGCTCGTTTATCAATCGAGATGATTATGGGCAGATGATCTGATGCTAAATTCAGGATAGGCCGCAATGATACGCTGTTTAACAGATCAGCACTGCAGCAGCTGCCCATAATCCTGGTGGGTGCGTCGTCGTGAATCATCAATCTGCTCAGCCAATTGTGTGCCCCTACGATCGCTTGACAGGCTTGAATGCCAAAGATCGTGGTGCGCATTGAAGTCAACAACTACCATACGGTTTTCACCTCTGAGGAGCGCAACTATTTCAGGGTGATATCCTACCGGGCAGCTGGTGGCAGGGGGTATATATACGTTGAATATATTTCGAGCTCGACATCGCCTGACCAGATCAATACCCTGACATTCTAGGATGGTATCCCTGCGGTCGATGTCTGCTTCGATAAGACGATACTGCACGGTGTGCTGTGATGAACGCTAGGCCACCACCATTATTTCGCGCGCGATCTCGACGGTACACGTTCTATCCGGCGCAATTCAACAATGTTGAATTGCCGTGCAGCTTCGTCTCTTGGACCGCAAGTATTAATATTCCGACCCATGAAGACTGTTAGCTCCTCCATCTTGCTCTGAAAACCGTTACAGTTAAATTGTAAAATCTTCGTATGCCTAGGGAGACTTATTGGAATGTGGGGTGTTAGTGACGTGTGTTGCCGGGCCGCTACATGCTGTGCTTGCTGTTGCTGTGGCTGTTGCCATATGGTGTTAGTGGGCAGCGTCGCAGTTGGAGATTGCTGCCGAGAAGCACAGCATGGGCCCTCATAGTCCCTCGTCCAATCTTGCGTGCTGCGCAGTCTTGAGCATGCCCTAAAGTGACACCAGCCAAGGCAAGTGTTGCAGTTGACTGATGTCACATTACGGAATATCCTGGTCAGACACACGGTGCAGATTGTCGGAGGAACTAGGAATTGTTGCCGGTGGCGTGTGGGTGGTGAAGCAATGGTATCAGTGGTGTGGTCTGTTGTGTCAATGGTATTGTCTATTGCGTTGTGTTGTGGTGCGATTGTGTTTGTGTTGAGTTGCTCAGGCGGACTCTGTTGTGCCGTGGAGGCAGCTCGATTAGTGCAGCAAGGGGCCACGAACGCGGTGGTCCACTGCCTATGAGTCGTAAGGCCTGAGCAAACTAGGAGATGGCTTCACCCATTGCTCGTGTTGCTCCTGACGCATAGTGTAAGATTTGACCCATCTAGCTGCTTTTAATTCTGTAATTCGAAAACTATTGAAGATAGATCAATGAAATTTTGCACAAGGTACATTATAAGATAGGCGATGCTTTTCAGAAAAAATTGGTCATTTACAGTTACTGTCGCGCCACCCTATTATATAACTGCAATTTTTAAAAAGGCATAAAACTGAAATATTTAACTAACTACAAAGGCTAAAATGCCCAAAATTGATATTTAGGATTTCCTTATAACAAGGAATTATAAACTGACAGAAATGGACTTAAAAATAAATATTTTTTTTTTAAGTATGGGTGTGGAAAATATCGATAAAAAAGTCAAGTTGTGTCAACAAAACTCCATTATAAGTTCAATATTTCTTGCTCTATTTACAAAAATGAACCATGAGGAATTCGCTTCTCATAAAGCGTAAACGATTTTCGGTTGAGATAAAATCCAAATGAATTACTCGAAGAAAATAAAATTCCTAGTAGGCCTGAGAAAAGAACATTTCATCAAAAACTGCACTTTCCAGCAGCTAAAATTGAGTTGTTTAAAGTCTAAGAAGAGTGGCAAATAAACTGAGATACAAACTTTATCGAGTAGTGGCGGATAACGAGTTTGCGGGTCTAATGAAATTAATAAATTGCTTAAAATAAATTTAAGTTAACATCGTTTTACTTTAACATGAAATACTCAGTCCTAGTTTACTAAAATCCCAAAAATGTATATTCATTAAAAAGAACATACCTAAAAAATAAGACCAAAATGGTATTTTAGCAATTGTTGCATAAATCACATAACACCGACAAGTTAAACACTGGTTTCAAATATACAATTCTAAATATTATTGCACTTGGTAATTTTCCAAATCAAACCCCGTCCCGCTCTAAACTTTGATTTAAATTTTTTAGTTGTTATTGTTTCGTCTTTATCAGGCATTTCTAAAAACATGTTTGACGTTGTTTTGAAATTTGGCGACATAAAATAATCTAATTAATATTTTCTCCTATTTTCTTCTATAGATCTCCGAAACAACAGCCGTTGATCGGGTAAAACTCGAGTCATTCCGGTACGTAGAACCTTGTCTTCAGGTTCACTCCATCAGTGAACAAGTTGCCACAATACGTGTCAAAGCTAATTTCAACAACACCAGCCTCATTTGTGCGCGTGTCCCAATGAGGAATAAGGACGTTGGAACCAAGGAGCAATTTAATAAGGGGCTCACGAGGCTATGCACTATTATCCATTACATTAATTTGAGTAGAAACTCGGTGCATAAGTACCATTTCGTGTATAACTTAATTCATGAATGATTTCGTGAATGGGCCTACTCATAAACGTAGTATCAGTGTACTTTGCCCAATCTAGAAGCATGATCATATTGCTGTTGGCGCAAATTAATAAGTATTTTCAACATCACTTATATATCATCGATATTGTGTGGATCCCAAAACTGTTTGGGTTTTATCAATGCTACAATGCGTCAAATCCTGGAAAAATGTAAACGTACGTATTGTTAAATGCAATAAATACCTCATCATAATTCGATTCAATAGTAACATCTTTGTTGACGGCTAGTAACATATCACCAACTTTTACTCCAGCCTTTCGATATGTAAAATACAATAAAAAATTAAAAAGAAAAATTCCTTCGTACTAAAGATTAATCGCAAAATTACCGCTACAGCATTGGATTCTTCACGCAAATCGGATACGAATATACCATTGCCCACTTCGACGTGTTTTCCGTAAATTACCATAATACCAAGGAAACCCTCTTTTTTAACTTGTACTGAGCGGGCGTTGGGATACAGCTCGAATAAGAATTTTGTCTGTAAAACAGCATCAAAAGATGTAATGCCGTTTCTGAAATAAGGACTTTTTATGTATGTATTATACATACATCATCAACTTCTTTAGGGAACTTCTTGATGGGCTTTACGGAAATTCCTTCGTCATTTTCTTTCCGGCGGGATGTAATGAGTATAATTTTTTCGCAGTCGATATTTTTGAATATCACGGATGCATTTAAATGACAACGATTCTGTAGAACATTGCCGTTCACCTCGAGTATCTCGTCCCCTGCTTTTATATCCAATGAGGCTAGTGGACCATTGGATTTGATGCCAGCGACGAAGCAAGCCATTTTTCTTCTATCTGTATGACCGGCCAAAGCTAAGCCTAGTGACTGATTCGGCGCACGCTGCACTTCAATCTTGTGCAGGTCCTTCATCAAATTGTAACGTTTTTTAATTTTCGCTACAATAATTAAAAACTTAAAATATGTTCGCGGTCTACAATGAGCATTCGATTGGTGGAATACATACCCATCGTGTATCCGAACTCATCGGGTTGTTCCTTGTCTCGTTCCTTCTCCTGTTTGTTGAGCTTACAATTACCAGCAGATGCCCGATCGATCTGTAAAAGGATGGACGAATTATTTAATAGATCCTTTTAAGCAAAAACCTTACTACAATTAAACAGGGCCCGAATCGATCGAGCGCAACTCGAATCGAAATTTGGTTTTGAGATCACGATATTCGATAGCGAGTATGCTTCGCCCGTTGAAATTGTATTGTAGAGAAAACAGCTGCCATTTTGTTTCAATCGATTCGAAACGAGTAATTACTCGATCACGAATGCCGCGATTCGGGCCCAGGTCTACAAACTTCACTTCNGATAGCGAGTATGCTTCGCCCGTTGAAATTGTATTGTAGAGAAAACAGCTGCCATTTTGTTTCAATCGATTCGAATTACTCGATCACGAATGCCGCGTATCGGGCCCAGGTCTACAAACTTCACTTCTTTTTTTTTATATGAGGGGTTTCCGATGTTTGTTTGTTAGCTGAACTCGATTCTGGGGTCAAAAATGTGCTGGACACCTTTCTCAGAAACTTGACATGCTAGAGACTTCTACTTAAGCTTGAATTAAAGCTTGACCGACAACGAAAACACTTTGAAAACAAGTTTTGCATTGTGGACTGAAAGCTGTTCGCACCAGCTCAGTGCTTTCGTTGACATTTCTTTCATCCTTTGTTTACAGTTTTGCTATGAAAAAACAAAACCAAAATCTTTTTTCATTTTCTTATTTTTAGAAACCTATTCCTTTTATTCATATTTTAATTTGGCCAGCCAATTGGCAATAAATCCCAAATAGCATATGTAAGATGAAATATGACTTCCACTTCGATAAGTATATCAAGAAAACTAGTGAAGACACCGATTGGAATGAGTGGAACGTGAGTTTTCAAGTAGTTTTCAGCGAAAACTGTGCTCGAATCGTCACATACGATATCCTTCTACTCGTCACTTAAAAACACATTTTTCGGATTATGACATAAGTGAACGTACTTTTTGTCCCATTTAGCTGGGCTCGAATCGTAACATCCCTTCACGGATCGAAAACCATACGAAAGAAAAATACGTGATACCGTCAGTCGTATAGGCTGAAAACGGGGTAAAGAGTACGTTCACGTATGTCATAATCTGAAAAATGTATTTTTACGTGACGAGTAGTACGCTATCGTATGTGACGACTCGAGCCCTGGTTTTCGTTTGAAAGATTTCACATGGACGAAAACACAAGTTTTAGGTCGAAAACCAGTTTTAGCCACGAAAACATGTTTTCGATAGCAGTCAGAACATGGTATTATCCTACAATAGGTATACACGTAAGTGTCAATCTAGTTAGATAACGGAGCCCGCGTACGCTAAAAACTTGCACAGTAGGGGAAATTGTGAGAGGAAAGTGACATTTTATTTTGAGGGGAAGCTGTTAGTTTCTGCTGGAAAAATTTTTGCCAACATCAATTTGGCAACAGAAAAACAGCTGATCAAAACCAGCTGGTAGGAACTTATGCAAGTCACATAATTGAATTTGATGGTTTCGAAGTTAAAAGTGATAAAATGCGACAAGTTAAACTTCTTAGAACTAAGTAGTTATTCCTTTATAAATAAACTGTGTCAGGATAACACTTTGTGATGAGTTTTCGTACGTTTTAAATTTTATTCAATCAGCTGTTCATCTAACTTGCAAGTTTTTGCAAATTTTCTAACCACGTACTATTAGTTGGGTTCCCTAACTCGCAAGAAGTTGCAAGATTTTACAGGATTTTACCAGAAAGCGTTCCCGTACTCGGTTCTCTGGCAAAGTAGGGGAAAAATGGGAGAGTAAAATCGGTCCTCTCTTTGTCAGAAGTTGCAAGATTATACCCGAAGAATTTTTGCTGGTAAAATCTGGTAAAGTGTCAAACCATCAGCCGTTCAAATGATGTCAAATTTGAATATGCAAAAACAAAAGTGCATCTGCATTTTCATCTTATTAAATATATCCCAGCGAAGAAATATTAAGTATTGTAAGTATTTTTGTTAATTTGTTGGAGTATTTGAGCAAAATTCGGAAGATTGTCAAATGATAAAAAAACTGCTATGTGAACAAAAAATGGCGCCCACGGTGTATTTGACAGTTTTACAAGTTCTTAACCGAAAAGCATNCATCTGCATTTTCATCTTATTAAATATATCCCAGCGAAGAAATATTAAGTTTTGTAAGTATTTTTGTTAATTTGTTGGAGTATTTGAGCAAAATTCGGAAGATTGTCAAATGATAAAAAAAACTGCTATGTGAACAAAAAATGGCGCCCACGGTGTATTTGACAGTTTTACAAGTTCTTAACCGAAAAGCAGTCCCGTACTTTTTGGCTTTTCTATCTTTCGCTGAGAGCAATTTTGATTTTTGACAGTTTTACAGGTTTTATCCAGAAAAGTTGAGGGACGAAACTATTCTAGATATTTTTCTCTTATGAGAGAACAGATGCCATTTCGCCGGAATTTTTCTGTTGAATGTTTTTTACTGGAGATTTTAAACGAACGTACCTATTGACTATAGTATGTAGGTATATGTATGTTTGTACGTACATATTTATCTTACAAAGTAATTTGCACGATTTTATGTGCCTAATTACATTACCTCGTAGCCAGCTTCTGTACGGATTCGGCCAGTCATATCCCGTGTATCCTCTTCATCTTCGTCGTTGGCTGTATAAATCGCTGAAGGTTTGGCACGGATGGAGGCAGAAAACGCCGCATTCCTGGTCGCTTCTTTCGGAGCCATATTCGGCTTATTCGTCGAGGTAGGAGGTTCTAAGATAAAATATTATTATTTATATGTGCAATGAATTGCATTTAGGTACCTGGAGCGAATTTAGACTTAGCTTGAACGTATCCATTCTCACGTTGATCACGCTCATTCGATTTCTTCTCATCCTAATTACCAACGAAAGGTAAATGAAGTGTAGTTTTTTATTTCAAATTTAAGGTCAAACAATTGAGTACCTTTCCATAAGTTTGAATTTCCAGATTTATTTTAATGCCAGCATCTTTGATATGTTCGATGACAGCTTGCTCTGTAGCATTTCGAACGTCCTTATTATTTAGGGATAATATACGATCGCCCACCTTACAGTATATTGTAATTGTAAATAAAGCTTGCATGTATAAACTCGTGATATTTATATTTAAATACATACATACGTACATAGTAAATTCCTAGCGAAACTTTTTTACCATTAAAGCCTTTTAAGTTCTATAATCAGCTAGGTTTTTAGTATATAAATTGCCATTCTAAGGCATTTTTTTTCGTTCCGCCCTATAAACTGCTTATATCAACTTCCTGTACTAAATTTTCAAATCGAAAATAAGAGCTAACGGTTGTATTTAAGTTTGTTGCAACCTACATGTTTTTATAAACATACAAAGCTACATACTAGGGATGTTGCGGATGTGGAATTTTAGACATCCGCGGATGCGAATGCGGATGCTGATGTTTAAAAGCTAACATCCGCGGATGCGGATGCGAGTGCGGAGGTTAATTATTTTTAATAAATAATTTAGGTGAGTTAATTATGTGGTTTAGGTAAATAAAAAATGGAAAAGTTAGTAGTTTTTAACTCAACTTTTTCACATTCCATTTTATTTTAATTTCGCTGCGCGGTTTTTCAACAGACCTTTGGCAAATAATATTCATAGTTACATTATTCTTACCTAATTAAGGGTTACCTTTTAACGTGCAAATAGTCGATTCTTTTTATAGCTACCCCTTGAACATTTCCGCTGGAATTGCATATTGGACGATCTTACTCTTTGACTTTAAATTACAAAAGAAGGGAGACGTAGGGGGACAATTTTAACGTAGCATCCCCACAGTCAAAAAATATTGGCTACAATTTGTCATTTTGTTTGCCAGATAAACGTTTTATATCAGTGCACTTGCACAATATTCGCATTCGCAAAAGCTCCGCGTTGATTATTGCGAATGCGAATGTTAAAATTCATGCGGAAGCTCCGCGGTTGCGAATGCGAATGCGAATATTCGCAACAACCCTGGTACATACCTACATAAATATGTATGTTTGTAATTACATAATATTGTGGGATAATTCTAAGGCAACTCAAGCGGAGGTGGAATTAAGGAAACCCTAACAATGTTAGTAATTAACTATTTAGAATTTTTTAACTGCTTGCTAACTAAAGTTTTATACCCTTCATGAACATGAAATGGAATTATAACTTTGGTGCGATGTTTTTAAGTACAAGAAGACGAAGAGATAACCCCATTTAATTGTTTACCAAAATAATCAGAACTTGGAACTGAGTCGATTTAGCTATGCCCGTCTGTCCCTGTGCCGGTCTGTCCAATCTCTCTCGCAATCTAATCTCTCAGTTTTTGATATNATACTCGCATTCGCAAAAGCTCCGCGTTGATTATTGCGAATGCGAATGTTAAAATTCATGCGGAAGCTCCGCGGTTGCGAATGCGAATGCGAATATTCGCAACAACCCTGGTACATACCTACATAAATATGTATGTTTGTAATTACATAATATTGTGGGATAATTCTAAGGCAACTCAAGCGGAGGTGGAATTAAGGAAACCCTAACAATGTTAGTAATTAACTATTTAGAATTTTTTAACTGCTTGCTAACTAAAGTTTTATACCCTTCATGAACATGAAATGGAATTATTACTTTGGTGCGATGTTTTTAAGTACAAGAAGACGAAGAGATAGACCCATTTAATTGTTTACCAAAATAGTCAGAACTTGGAACTGAGTCGATTTAGCTATGCCCGTCTGTCCCTGTGCCGGTCTGTCTAATCTCTCTCGCAATCTAATCTCTCAGTTTTTGATAAATAGGACTGAAATTTGGTAAGCGGGGATACTTTTATAATGTACTAGCAGAGCACCCGACGTCGTTCGGGGTAAACAAATCAAAATATAAATCAGTAGTACAAATATTCAGTTTTGCATAAATTAAAGGAGACAAACTATTTTCTTTCTGTTTAAATTAAGGCGTCCTTATGAACCATACTTTTGGCTTTATCGTGCTTCAACTACTATATGTATATTTGTCATCATTTTCTGCACTACAAATCTTGTTTCATTATTAATATTAGGTGGATTAAGGTAACGATAGAATTTTTAAATTAAATTTAGTCTACTACGGTACATTCCGTTTAGCTGCCTATTCGCTTAGCTATTTTAGTATAGCTGCACTTTTCCGGTAGAATGCTTATTTCGGAAGAAGATTTATATGAATGAATCACGAGATCAAAAAAGCGATTTTATCTTTCGGTTTCGAAATGGTCTAAAGACTGATAAGGCGGATTCACCCTTCGTGTTCGGAGACTTTTTGTTAGTAATTTTACGCGTTCCTTTCCCACTTTGTCTCACTGTGAGCGCGACAAAAATTTGCTGAACACTCTTTGTTCGAATCAAATTGATTTTGATTTTCTGCCCGAACGACTTGATGATTCGGATTGCCACGTTCTCCTTTATATGCGTTTGCGGCGTGTTGCATGTGTTATTTGCACTCAACATCGTATGTAGGCAACAATATTATCAGCTGTTTGCTTCAGAACAAAATAAAATGTGCCGAACTGAACGGTGAACCGTACCTCAGCAC